GTCACCTGTGATCAAGTCTTTTTTCAACATTGCATAGCACTCAGCACATTTCTGTGTCCTTGCCTGCTTATCTCTGCAGAATCCTAAGTGCTCTAATCTCCTTGTGGTGTTGAACACAGCCGCTTCATGATGTACACTTGAGGAGAGAGACACTAAGCATTTAGTGACTGACCTGTGAATGTTCTGCAGGGAAATAATATAAAAATAGTTCAGAATCACTATAGAGAAATTGTAAGGTTTTAAGAAACCAACGTGAACTTTTGTTTCTATCTAAACAAACAGCTCACAGCAGATAACTGAAGTGATCTTCCTGCTGTAGTCAGCTGGTGAGATACTGAGCTCTGGCATGTAGCAGTCACAGTCCATGAGTACCCTGGAGACCACACAAATCCAGATGGCTTCTTCATTTATAGTATTGACCATTACATTCTAGGTTCACAAACGTAAGTACACAGGTCAGCACAGTGTGGAGAATAACTAGACATTCTATCCATGCTAGCTGCCCCCTATTAGGACACATATCCAATGGCCTGACTGCTCACCTTCATGTTGGATTGCACATTCAGTGGTAAAGTTGCCTACCACCATACCGAAATGTTCACCCAGGGGTACCTGCCTACCTCTGTCAAAAATGTGCCATGTTGGGTATTTTTTGGTTTTTTTGTTTTTTTGTTTTTTTTTTTTTTTTTTTTTTTTTTTTTTTTTTTTTTTTTTTTTTTTGAGCAACTATTTCTAAAAGCCAAAGCAACTAACAGCCCAGATATCCACTAACCGGGAAATGTCTAAGTTGTGTTAAAGTGATAATGGGACACTGCCCAACATGAAAATGAATACAAGATGGAGACCACAGATATGATGTTGATCTACATGACAAGTTCAGTGTTTACTTTATGGTCCATTTTCTAGAAATTCCAGAAAAGAGAGCATGAATGTTGATAAGAATGGAAATAGTGATGAGCTTGATGGCTGGGTATGGATAGGGACAATTAGCTAAGGAGAGATATACACATTCACATTCCTGTAACCTCCACAAAGATCAAGGCAAGGAAACTTCCAGTTCTGTTCCAAAGTCTTCTGTCTTGATAAGAAGAACTATGTGTCTACTTTGTCTTTGTCTTACTTGATCATTAAATACAATTTGCATAAGTGTGCTGAAAACTCCAAGTTCTGGGCCAGCACGATGGCTCAGCAGGTAAAGGTGCTAGCCACTGAGCCTGATGACCTGACTTTGGTCCCCAGGTCCCACACTGTAGAAAGAGAGAACTATCTCAAGTTGTCTTCTGAACTCCATATGCACAAATGTGGCCCACACTTATCTGTACATACACAATAGTATAATTAAAAAGTCTTAAGATTCCAAGACTTAATTAAGCAGTGCTTCTTTCTAAGGACAAGCCAACCCTTATTTTTGTGTCACCGGCCAAAAGCATTGTCCACCAAGGACCCTGTGTAAGTGTTGCAGCTCTGAGGGGAAAGGAAGCCTGCCAGCCAGGAGCCAAGCAATACCACAAAGTCATGTCACAACAAACCTCACACAGAGATTTTCCTGGGAAAGACCCAGAGCGTGGCTGTCTCTGCGTGAGCGAGAAGCAACGAGGACCTGGGAGGGAGATTATATAGGACTTTGGGGGAGCAGAGTTTTCCAAGGTGGAGATTTCCAGGGTGTCCACTGGTGGGATTTCAAGGATTGAGCTTGGAGTGATTCAGGGATTGATGGGATGTCAAGCTCAGGGACTTGTAGATTTTCAAGCTCAGGAATTGGTGGGTTTTCAAGTCCTGAGCTTGAGCTTTTCACTGTGTAGGACAGAAGTTGGTCAGCTGGATCTGGAGGAGGGCCAGGGTTTTTAAGACTGTTAAGGTGTTCTGTGGGTGAAGCCTGGTGGTTGGATGTTCTCAGGGGCAGCCTGGCCATTCACATGCCTCAAGGGACTCACACCTATGTTCTTTGAAATGTGTGGAACACCAAAGGCTTGGCAATCACATTTTTTTGAGAACTCTCAGGTGTGGCACCTGTTACCTGCGTGGACTGTGTGTTTATGTACGGGAGCAGTTGCTAGAATTCCTTGACTCTTTCAGGTGTACATCTTCTAGTAATGGATAACTTATCAGAGAAGGAAACTGAGTTGACAGACTCATTTCCAAACATCTTTTAATACTGGATAACTTCTTAGTAAAGGAAGTTGGGTTGACAGACTCATTTCCTAAGTTTAGTCTTATGCCATATACCTTACTTATACTCCTAAGCGTTCACAATGACTAGCCTGTGAAAGCATTCACAAATCTCAGCATCTAGAATAGCCAGGCAGGAATGAAGCAAGTGAAACATGCAGTCCGGGCTTGTCTCCACCACTGTCCTCCCTGTAGTGTGCACTCATGTGCATTTCTGATTTCCTTCCGGGGCTGCAGACTTCCTGCGGGCAACGTGGATGTTGACTAAGCATTCAGATGTCTGTCAGGCTAATTGCTGCAGTAGCACTGAACTGTTGTGAATAATGGGCTCTTGTGTTTTTTTTCTATATCAGTGTCCAGATGCTTTTCATTTTCTGGACCAACTCTCAGCTTTGCCCAGATACCCCACTAGTTAGCAAATATTGGGAAGACTGAACCACAGTCTTGACCTGCAGGGAGTCAGTCTGAGCAAAACAGACACATAGTCATGAATTCACTGCCATGACAGAGGGAGGAACTGTACTCTGAAAGTATGGGGGAGGGCTGGTGATGATATGTGAAGTCTCAGCCCAAGACAACATCAGTGGAGGACTTCCTCCTGCATGGGGAGGATGTCTCTGGACAGCGACTTCATCACAGATTCCTAAGCTGCCATGCGGGTCCTACATCACAGCAGGCTGGTCTCCTAGTCCAGTACCTGTCTGCTCAACAAGGAGACACCAATAACTTGCTTTAAAGGGGTGGGGGAAATGGGCACACAGGGTAGTAAAGAGGGACAGCAGGCTCTCTGGCCAGTGTCTGGCAACAACCAGACGTGGAACCTAGTAGAGGCACCATGAGTTTCTGACATCAGGTATGTAGCAGAGAAATTCTAGAATACAGTCCTTTGGTGCACAAAACTATGTGACACAATTCACAAGGACGAAAGCACAGTCCCCAAAGAGAAATTTGGAGCTTGAATACGTTGCTTTAGTCCAAAGAGATTATCAAAGAGTACTAAGCAGGAAATTTCTGGAAATTATGTCAGTATCCTAACATTTTCTAGTATAATTATAATATTTCTGTTTGAGAAACAAAGTAAATGGGAGATGCTTGCTGACTCTTTGTTCATCGCATGTTTATGAGTTTCCTAAGTATAGGAAGGTGACTGAAGGTCAGGTCTGTTTGACTTGAACACCAGCTTCTTGCCCCCATGAGGTCCTTGTTTCTGGCGGAGTAAAAAACTGCAGGCAACTGTATCTACGGCTAGAAAGACTTTAGTTGATACCGGGCATTTGCTGGCCAGAGCAGCTTTAACAGTCAAATTACTGCTTTTCCCCACAAATAATTCTCCGGAGTTATTATCATCATGTGAAGCCAACTAGAAATGGTCTCTTCTTTTCTTTTATAACCATAAATCTTGCATTGGGGCGGTACCTACATGAATACAATGTAGCCGAATAGTCACACTTTGCATTTGAATGGATGTCATGAAAATAAATGTTACATTAAAACTGGACAGCACTTACGGAGATTTAATAATTCATCTCATTGTCACTGCAAATAAATGAACCAAAGCCCCTTTTATGCAGTTGTTAAAATATGCTGGATAATGATCCATTCATGTTTAATATTGCTAATAAATTTGAAAGTTTCACATTTTTACTGATAAACATTTTCTTGAAATGCAGTGTAGGAGGACAGATGGTTAAATTTAAGTACTTTATAAATGAGAATTGTAGATAGTGATGCGATTAGCAACAGTGCTGTGTCAAGAGCCATCTACCAGCTTACCTGCGCTCCTTCCAGCGCTCAGCAGTGGGTTTCGTATTTCACTTTTATGAGCGCCAAATTGCACATGATTGTAGGGGGGAACTAGCATGCTAATAGAGTAATGATAGCAGTAAATATTGTGCTTTTTCTTGTTGACTTAAATTACACATTTTCAATATCTCAGGAAAATCTTATTAGTCTAATTTAATATGTTGAAATATTTTACCTATAAAATTTATGAGTAGAAGAAATACTTAAATCTCTAAACACACAAATGCACATATACAGACATACGGGCATGCATGCAGTGCTATATTGTGTAATCCAGGCAGTTTGAGGTGGAAATTAGTGTTATTCAATGGGAGCTATACCGTTTTAGTGTTCATATCTGCACAGGCTTTAATAAAATACTGAGTGTAGCTCAGGAGTACAGTTTTTTTTAGTACAAAGAATTCTCTCACTTTTAGTGAATTTTCTCTAAAGTTTACACGGGGTAAATTGGGAGAAATCAATTCCTATCTTATAAATAATGTCCCCAGAATCTCCCTTACAGGACCATAGCACGCTGGGATGTACTTTTGTATTGAAAGCTGTGCTGTGTTTGATCGCAACAACAACGCCTTAGTGTTGTGACCTTGGGCTCCCCTCTGTGTTGACTGAAATGCAGGATTTTCTGACTTTTATTTCATGTCAGTGGTAGACATTACGTCTCATTCTCTTTTCCCATGAAGATTCCAGAAGCTTATTTCATTAGAGACCCTCATACGTTCCTCCTTACAAAGGACTTTATTAAGGTACCTGTGTTGTATTTGGTACTAAAGGTGTTTTGGTTTTTAACTGCATGCTTGGGTGCACAGATTACTGTTCCTACATTTAACCCAGCTTCTGGTGCTGAGAACAGCGCTGTGCTTAACGGAAGCATGAGTAGAAGTGAAGCTTGTCCACAAATGCTAACGCTTGCAGGGTTCTGTGCCCTGAGAAAGGGGCGCGCCTGGAATTTTCTGGGCTCTTTATGGCTGACTTAAGCTTCACTTGCACTGACACATACTGATTATGACAGTCACCTCTTTGCCCTGCAGGCCATGGAAGCACAGATACGGAACTTGGGACAGACGCCATCTCAGCTGCTCATTGAGCCCCATCCACCTAGGAGCTCGGCCATGCACCTGGTAAGGCCACAACCGTGGAGCAATCTTTCTTTTCTTTGTAGCCAGGCAGAAAGCAAGTGAAATGCTATTTCAGTAATATTTTTCAAAGGCTTCTCAGTTTTCTATTGACTCCAGAGCTCAAGGGCATGCCAGGAGAATGTGTAATTTCTACTCTTCAGCCCTGCTTACTAAGAGAGCCCGATCTTGGGCTTACAAAAGGAGCATCCACTCTCCATAAGCCTATTAGTGTACACACAGGTACACACAGACTGGCCTCCAAATTAAATTAGGTCTGTAAATCACCACACAGTATAAACAAGCCAACAGGAGCCTAGTTCATTTTAAGAAAAGTGAGTGATTTTAAAGGCAGTTTGTGACTCCTGCAGAGAGGCTGTGGGACAAAACAAGCTGGTTTACAAGTAAAGGCTCCAGGGTCAGATGTGGGCCAAACGCCATTTCTGCCACTAACCAGCGAGTTTCTGGGGATAAGACCTAACCACTGTGTGCTGGCATGTCAGCATCTGGAGCATGGAGTCTCCCTGCACTGACAATCTAAGGCCTGCTTCTGAATCTCTGTTATGCCACCCTGTGATGTAAAGCCCCAGTAGATGCTAGCTGGCCTCATCAAGAGCTGATCATGTTAGACCTTTAGTCCTACTTTGCAAGGAAAGAATTGTATGCTTTATCTGAAAATTTAAAGATCCATTCTCATAACAAAGCAGTCCCTTGCCAGTGTATCAGCAAATAGCAAAATTTTCCTTTTTATTTAATTCAGTGAAGGCAAAAATTTGCTGAGATGCTTTCAATGTATTTTTTAATGATCTTTCACTTTTTTCTGGCAAAAGTTCAACAAATGTTTCAAGACAGAAACAGTTGGAAATGAGTTCTTAGATCATCTCCACCAGCTTGGAGAAAATCCTTTCCCCTCAGTGGAGTGAAGAGCTGAGATAGGATGGCTAAGAGTGTGTGTTGGCAAGACTGAAAGCTAATATTTCTCTGAAGGAAAGAGTGTTTACTCCCTTCATTTACTTCACGCACTTTTGACCCCTCCATGTGTCAGATGACTAAGCAGTGAGGCAAAGCATCAGGTGTGTCCTCCATACCGTCCAGAAGCAAGCAGTCCACACCTGGAGAAACAGAGCTGCACACTTGCTTTAACCCTTTCTGCAGCAGTCGTCTGCATAGTTTCAGTCCTGTGAGCACAGTGTGTGTCTTTTGATTGCACCTGCTCATTCTGTGTAATAAAACAGAAAGGTTTGTGGAGAACACAGGCTGTTCCCAGATGGTTCTCAGCCATGGTACAGACAGGGATGTGGGCTTAGGGGACCAAGCTCCACACTGCCCAAAAAGAGTGTCTTACACCTTCTTGTATGACATGGCTTGATGGCAGAGTTTTATTCCACATCACTTTTCTATTTTTAATGATTGTGATGATGATAATGTGATGGTGGTAATTATCCTGGGGGAATGTCCAGTTAGAACTCATTACCTTCCTACAAGGAATTATCAGATGCCAAATTGGCATGGAGCTGTTAAAAGAAAATGAGCTTTCTAAAGTCGTGATCCATAGAGAAAATCCTCGAATATTTATGACAGCCGAGTAGAAATTATTTTCAGCATCCTTATTTTATGTTTTGTAGAATAAAATTTAGAGTGCTCTATAGTGCATGTAGTATCTGCTGTCAGCTCAGATGCTAGATGTTTAAGAAGGAAAGCTCAAAAAAATCAAATCAAATCAAAAGCATGGCCCATAATAAACTGAACATCTATGGGAGAGAAGACACAAGCCCTGAATAGTAGGGTCAGCACCAGAGCCCAGATACACCAAGATTCTGACCAGAGCACCAGGCTGCCCTGCAGGTGGTTGTGTTTCAGTTGTTTATGCTGTGCCTACATTAGCCCAAGAAAGAAGACAGTTACGAACTAATCACTTTATATTTTATGCTAACAACATCAGCCACTGATTAACTAATGTCCTATCAGACTGATTTTTTTTTTAACCTCCATGAACTCTTATGCTCCATCTTGTGGCTATATCTGTGAGCTAACGGTCCATATGGTGATCTAGCCACATACAAGTTGAGACTGACTCTTAGCAACAGAGTGTGCTGCCTCAGGGACTTCATAGGCTCTGTTCCCTTTGCAATGGGCCTTCTTCAGGTGACGCTGCTCTATCTGGGGTGCCCTGGCCAGCGAGACAGTTCAGATGGCTTAGAGCTCCTGCCTCTTATCATGCTAGCCTTGTCTGTGAGCACCTCCTATCTCCAAACCTTCCACTAACCGGGTTATCCTTTCTGTTTCCTTCTGTCTCTTCCCTTTCTACTCAACAGTGCTTCCTTCCACAGAGCCCACTCATGTTTAAGGATCAGATGCAGCAGGATGTGATAATGGTGCTGAAGTTTCCATCCAACTCTCCCGTGACCCACGTGGCTGCCAACACCCTGCCCCACCTGACCATCCCTGCAGTGGTGACTGTGACCTGCAGCCGCCTGTTTGCAGTGAACAGGTGGCACAATACAGTTGGTACGTGGGCCTCAGTCCTTAGCTGCAGAGCTAAGGGCAAGGAAGGTGTTGGGGAGCTCACATGTCATTACATACAGAGAGTAGCAGACAGAGTGTTGTGAAGCTCAGCCTGCCCACTCCTACAGCCCATGCCATGCCTTGGGCTTGGCACTGCTCTTCCACAGCACCTCAACAGGCTCCCAAACACAGTGAGTTCGTTTGGATTTTGTAGACAAGAACATGAAGCCATCCTCCTTCATTGCCCTTAGTTTGTTTAACAAATATTTGAATGCCTATTATATATCAAATAGTCCTAGGGATTGAGCATGAAACAAGACAGACAGCACCCCTAGCTTTGTAGAGCTTGCTCTGTGAGAAAATTCAAACAATAAATGTCCACTGATCTCACATGTGTTTGTCCCACATTCATTCCTGAGAGCTCCAGCCGGCACATCTTGAAGTGATATAATGTCATCACAAACATTTAGACATATTGATCCTTATTTAACCAGGGTAGACGTGGATGTGACCAAATGATTTAGTTGGCCCAGTTCAGCACTTAAGGCTTCCTGCAAAGCCCCAGGACTGAAAAGATGAGCCCCGCTGATCTAACCTGGATCTTTCTATTCCACTGATGTCTACCTCATGCTGAAAGGGCGGTGATTTATATCACACTTTCCCTTCATGAGTTTATATGTGGCTGGCCCTGGCTTATGGTTATTGCTGATATTATCAACAGGGGGTGGCGCAGCTTCTGCTGGCCCAGGAGTGTACAGCAGACGTCTTAGGGGAAAATAAGACTTCATTGTTCATAGGTCTTTGGCCTCTAGGAATGTTTTTCATTAAGAAAAAGAACTATAAAGGTCTCAATTATTAAATTGTTCAAGAATATTATGTATAGTTATTTTATAACCACATGTGAAAATATGACAGATGAACTCAGACCCCAGATGTCAGTCTTGAAAATAGCTTTAGTGGGATGAAAGTTTTAGGTATAACTTGAATTGACTAGTCATGTTATTGGGAAAGGCCCCTTGTAAGAGAATCCAGCTCCTATCTGGCCTCATGCCATGGAAGCCCATCCTTGTCTGGTATTCCAGGCCCACTGGTTGCATTGTAAGAAATGCTGTGATGCTCATTTATTTAATTTACCACACTTCTTGGCTTTCTACATCTCAAGGAAAAACCTAAAGTCCCTGCTGTAGTGACATTTTAGGACTTCTTAATGAAATCACAAGGATGAAACTGAGTCAGCACAAACTTTAAGCAAATACAAGTTTAAGTAAACATCATAAAACAGCACTTGTTAGGAAGTGCTTTTCAGGTAATAAGGGGGTTTTCTATGCTTACTTCCTCAGGCCTCAGAGGAGCCCCAGGGTACTCCTTGGATCAAGCACATCATCTTCCCATTGAGATGGACCCGTTAATTGGTATGCTAATGTATTCATTACTTACTATGGCTGTGATAAAGCACATGATCAAGGGAGGGCTTTATTTTGACTTATGGTTCCAGAGCAAGAGTCCCTCAAGACTTGGAAGCATTGTAGCAAGCATCCAGAGCAGAAAAGTGAGGGCTCACATCTTCACCCAAACACAAGGCAGAGAAAGCAAATAGGAAGTGAGTGAGGCTGGAAATCCTCAAAGCCAGTCCAACAAGGCTCCTAGAGTTTCCATAACCTCCACAAACCAGTTGGGGACTAAGTATTCAAATGCCTGAGCCTAGGGCAGTCATTGCTCATTGAAACCATGGCAGCTAACAAAGATGTATTTTAAAATCTTAGTGGTCTGTGCACTCTCACCTTCTTGTTTGTCTCAAAATACAGCTGAGATATATATTAAAACATATCAACATGAAAATAATATCAAACTGCCACGAAGGGCTTTGCTAACCTGCACATGCAACCAAGAAAACTTGGCTATTAAACCAGTTATTTATGACATTTTCTTGATGTTTTAGGAGGTCATATAAGTTAAATATTAAAAAAGCAAATACTTACACAGTTCCCTTTGTTTGGGCCTATGATATTCTTAACAACTTATATTATTTAAGGTAAAGAGATTCAAAGAAATTGTTAAGGGAAATTAATACTGAAAAAAATCTTCTATAAAAATTTACTATTCAATGGGCTAAACTTATTTTTTAACGTAAAGACACCTGAATTGCAAATTCCTGAGCTACAACTACTTATCCTCATATGGTCCATAGGATGCTATGCCTCTTGTTTTTGTATCTGTCAGGTGGCCTATGCTGATGTTTATTCTCCTAACTTGTGGAATCATTTAGAAAATTAAACCAAAAGAAACCTTGAAATGCTATCAAAAGTTGCTCAGTTATGTATAAGCAGTGGCATCCTGTTCTTCCGTTGATTCAGCTTTTATTTTGATCTAACAGACATGTCTTGGCTTTTTCTTATTCTCACTCCCAACAAAGACAGTATTTTCATACCTTAAAAAGAAACAAGGTTTAGGACTAAGAGTATTTCTGAGTCTACTCTTGTTGTCTTTCTGTTCACCAGACACTGACAATGAAATAGGTAGCTAGCGTGTGACCATGGGACAACCAACAGCCCTGCTCTCAGGGACCAGGCACCAGTTGTGTGATTTCCCAGCAGCTTGGGACTTTTGGCTTATTCTCCCCCTAACAATGCTTCTAAATGTCACCTCTCTCTCTCACCACTTACCTTAACTGAGTAATTATTTCACAGCTTTGGTAGATAATCTACAAACAGTTGCACTGTGATTTAGTTGGCATTAGAGCCTAGTGGTGGCGACCTTCCACATCTGCCCTTCATGTTTAAGAATTCAGGAAGGGATTTTGCCTGAAAGGATGGCGCAGTGTAAGGGACAGGCTGGCATCCAGACAGGCACTGGGGAAATCATAGATGTCTCTGAGTTCCTGGCTATATTCAGATTTACTCCCAAAGCTGCGCGCTGATTCTTTGCCTGTCTCTCTGCCCCCATCGCTTTCCCATCTCTTTTATTGGTCTCCTCCCCTGCCAGCCATGCTGTAAAGGCCTTGTGTTTATTGACAACCCAGGTCTTTAAAGCTACTGACCTGAAGCTCCCTGTGGACTTCCCACATCACACCAGCAGCCCTCTGCCAGCTTTTCACGTAGATTGAAATGTGCCATGGGGAAGTGACAGATGAAGCAAACATTAACATACTTTTGCATTGTGTGTAAGATTTACCTCCACCTGGTTCTTACTAGACATTAATGAACCAAAGCATAGCATACAGGTATAGAACCAAATGCATCTAAGTATCTCTAATATGCTTTAAATTCATTGTCTTGGATTCCTTATCGGTTCTCATTTGTCGATGGAAGAACTGAGGTTGCTCATATAGTTTTTATGTGTATGATATAGCTTGTAAATAATTGCTACTAAGGAAATGTATCTTCCTAGAGGGAAAAAATGTCTAAATCTTAATAGTTTTGCATCACTGAAAGCCCATTGCTACATCACAACCTATTTCAATAGCTGAAGCACAAGCTATTTTCCTTCCATGGGGGCATGCTGAAAAATCTTCTGGTTGTTTTTAGCAAATAATTCTGGTGTGAACAAGCGACAGATCACAGACCTCGTGGACCAGAGCATCCAGATCAACGCCCACTGCTTTGTGGTCACAGCAGATAATCGCTACATCCTCATCTGTGGATTTTGGGATAAGAGTTTCAGAGTTTACTCTACAGAAACAGGTAATCTTCACAACAAGGGTTTATTCTGTGTTGAGGAGATGATGGAAGCATGAGGACCAACCCAGCAACCACACGAAAGCCTGTACACATACCTATAACCTCAGCACTGAAAAGTTAGACATGAGAAGATCCCTGGAATTCTAACAAGCCAGTTTAGCTGAATTGGCAAGCTCTGGGTTCAGTGAGAAGCCCTGTTTCCAAAACACGATAAAGTATGACTGAGGAAAACAGCTGATCCCACTCACATGGCACACACATGCCCACACAAACACATATATGTACCACACAGGCACTCACAGAAAGTGTATGCTCTCTAATGTGACCTTATGACAGTAGAGATTCCATGCTGTACCAGCTCCAGGTGGTCAAGTCCTGGTGACTGCACTGTAAGCTAATCAGCTAGTTCTGCCTCAGAAAGGAACTACTGCTTCAGCTCACTGCTGACCTGAGTTTATGCCTCAGTGAAGCTGTCGGCCCCTCCCCACATCCATACTCAGGGTAAAAAGTGAAACTCTCCATTGCCAGGTCCAAATTCCGAAGGGAAAAATCATGATCATCTCATTTTATAAGACCTTTTCTTTAAAATCACCTGTGAGAAGACTGGAATTGTCTTGTAAATTTGACCGTCTGTGGATTCTTTTCACAAGTAGTAAAATAAAATTAATTCCACTTTCGTAAAGACAATGGGTCTCAGTGACATGACTGTCATTCTGTGCTGCAGGGAAACTGACGCAGATTGTATTTGGCCATTGGGATGTGGTCACATGCCTGGCCAGGTCCGAGTCCTATATCGGTGGGGACTGCTACATTGTGTCTGGATCTCGGGACGCCACCTTGCTTCTCTGGTACTGGAGTGGGAGGCACCATATTATAGGAGACAACCCCAACAGCAGTAAGTATTTCCCATGACGGTGCTCTCAGACAACACAGGACTTCAGTGTGTTCTACTCTTTTAGCTCCTTCATTTTTACAGAAATTAAAACATGAAAACCTAAGTGGCAAAAATAAATTGCAAAACTGAACCCTTACTGAGACCTTTGGCCTAGGGAGAGTCACCAGGTTTTCTCCTGATGGTCACTTACTGGTCCCCTCAGCTGCTGTCCGAAACACTTAGATGTCTGTTTGCTTCAGAAATATCACCTAGGCTGTTATATCTCAGGGTTTCTCTCAACTAAGTATAATCTCTGCCTTCTCTAAAGTTCAGTAAGCTTGTATCAGTGCCTCAGTTGAGTGGATGGCTGCTTTCTTCCATGTCAGTCACCTGGGATGATCTCTCCAGTACTTCTGCTGATGAATGCCTCTAAAGAAGCTCTGTGTGAGGAGACAAGACAGTGCTTGCTAGAAGTGTGCCCTTCCTGGAAGGCTCTGGGAATTGCACAGACATACAGGCCAGCACTTCCACCAGCAGTTTTCAGAGTTCTGTTTCTGAGGATTCATCTTACACAGTCCAGAGGATGCCATTGTTGGGCGATCCTGAGCAACTGTGGGTCCTAGGTTATCATTGTGGTACATGTGAGAGGTTTCCAGCAGATGTTATTAAGTGGCTGAAATGCTAGACAAAATATGACCAAGAAATAATGACCGCTTTTAATTACCAAACTGTCAGTGGTTCGAATGTCTGTGTTTCTTGTATAATATGAAATAATTTCTATGAAGTGTTCAATGTGGCAAGTGGTTAGGCTGGGCTAATCCAAGCTGTAATAAGTATGTCAGTCACACCTTAAACATGGGTTGGAGAATAGTAACAGCATATCTAAGAATGGTACATAAACAGAGCACAGAAGCAGCTGGGCCAGAGATGGGGACTAAGGTGGCTGGGGGTAGAAATGGCTAAAATGGAGGCAGTTAGGGATGGAGATGGTTAAGGGTGGAAGACCTGGATGGAGATGGTTAAAGACAGAAATATCTGCGAGAATGGCCTTTAAGTCCCACACATCTTCCAGCTCCTGTGTGTTCTATCTGGAATGCTACAAAATAGGAGATGTCTGTTAATGGGCAGGAACCAAGTCTGTATCATATAATACAAAGACTACAGAAATATATACACTGAAGAAGTGTATATATTTGCTTGGACAGTGCGCTAGAATGCCAAATGATGTATGACGTTTATTCTCGATGTTCATAGCTAGAGTTTGAAGTGTATTGTGAGGTGATGCTTATCTCTTGGTGTGGAGTGAGAAGGAGAATGTGAAAAATGAAGGCCTCTAGGCTATATTGGAGTAGGGTATGACGATGACTCAAGAGTTGTCTAACCTGTTCAGATACTTTATTTCCAATTCTACATTTTCAGTGACCATTTTTGATAAATTTGAACACACTAATATCCTTATGTTCACTTCTAATCCCCTACCCATCTCATCTGTAGCAGAGTTCTATTGTGTGTCTAGGGTGGGGGAGCTGTCATTCCACAGATGGTGTGTTAATACATGTGTTTGATCTGAGCACGCCATGCCATCTTACATTTCCAAATGTCCTTTATCTCTGTATTACTGTAGCACTCCTTAAAATGTCTAAGCAGCAGAGCTTTGTGTCATCTTGCATATACATTGACAAAAATTAGGCATTATAAGATAAAAGAATTTTGAAAGTATTATATACCTACTTAACTAACCTCCTCAAAACGAAACTCAGAAGGGATCATACAAAAAGAGAATCCATAGGGCTAGAGAGATGGACCAGAGGACCCAAGTTTTGATTCCCAGTACCTACGGAGGCTCACATCACCTGTAACTCCAGTTCCAGGGTAATCTGATCCTCTGACTTCTATGGGCACCTTCACTCACATGTATGTACCCTTCACAGGTTCACATATACACACTTTAAAAAAAAAAAAAAAACTCTTCTAAAGGGGAATTTATATCTTAAAAGCTCCCATCTGAAAACAAAGATGAGATATTTTAGTTGCATATTATTATTAGGTATTTTGGAAGACAATACTAAATTACATTAACTGTATGTGTTGGCTATACTATGATTTATATGATGTCTTTAACCCTAAAGATGATGAGTGCTCATCCATGAGTTAAATCTAACACTAGCTACAACAGTTAAGTCCTTGGTAACAGATGCTGTGTAAATACTTAATGTTTATGTGAATCAATAAGAATGAATGAATTAGTATAATATTTTTTGAAAGCAGTATTTTCAGAGGCAAGGTTTTACTATGCAGCCCTGGCTAGCCTAAAATTCGCTATGTAGACCAGGCTGACCTCATATTCAGAGAGATCCACCTGCTCTTGTCTCCCTATGTTCAGATTAATGGCATGCACCATCACACCCTGCTTTAAAAAGCAGAACTTTATTTTAGCCTTAAATAAGGATAAGCTTATCCTTAAAAAAAATCATGATTATCAATATGTATTTTTCAATATTGCTTCCATACATAAGATTTTTTTTTAAATAAAAAACTTTGTCATCATTGTAAACCCACAAACTTCCATAAAGTATACTCTGCAGCCCTCGGTCTGACATGGAATGTGGGCATGGCTGTGTTTCCGTTTGTCCCCAGCAGAGGAAATGGTTGTTCTTCTAGAAAGAGCAGGAGAAGCAGATGCAGTATGGGTAGAACAGGCGATACATGCCGAGACCTGCTTTGTCCCTGGGACTCTGAACAGCAGCTGTGAGTAACAGACAGCCCCAGCCTTCACAAGTTAAGTCCTGCCTCCTGAGTGTCTAAGCACACTGAGTACTTCCATGACTCAGTAGCTCTTTCAAGGAACATTAATTCCACCAGTACATGGACATGCGCCCAGAACTTCACATCCTGGGCATGGATGCATTATATGGATTTTTTTAACTTTCTGCCAAATGGATAATCACAAGAATAAAATCTTTAAATAGGCAATAATGTTTAATATTCACTCAATTTGATAGATTTAGGCCCTTCGCCACAACAGTCCTCCCCCACAAGATACCTGTGCTGACTAAGGCAACTGAATCAATACGTGTTTTTAAAGGCAGCCACAGCACTCAATACATAGACTGCCAGACCTATGCAGTGCCAAAGACAGGCAGTCATTGTCATCAAAAACTGGCAATGTGAAAGAAAGGTGTTTTTATTTGATTGTTTGTTTGTTTGTTTGTTTGTTTGTTTGTTTGTTTTCTGTCCGGCTTAATCTAATCTAGCTACTAAGTAACAGGTCAGAGGACCAAGCTGTATATGTTTTCTGTCTCAAAAGACATTGCTGCTCAATATGAAAGGGATAGTTAAGCTTAAATCGGTAACAGTGTGTGGCATAATGCCCTTAGATTTGTAGGATATATATATATTAACCTAGACTTGAATGGGAACCCCTAGCCTGGGACAGTGTTGCCCAGGAGATACTAATTAGCCTACTATAAAGGTGGAATCATTTTGTGTGGCAGAGAGACCAAACCAGACTCATTCATCAAACCAGAATCCTGGAATGAGGGTTTGTGTCTGACTTTATGTAAACTGACCATGAAGTCAAAGGGCCTTAATATACTTTTTTCTTTTGTACTGTGGGCACTCCATGATAATGGATACCTCTCTTTGACAAAGAATAATAAGTAATGTTTGCAGATTTTTAGGCAGGTGTAAAGAAATGTTAGTTTGGTTGTATTAAATATAGTGTTGTGACTGATTTAGACATCTCAAAGTCTCATACTGTCTTTTTCTAATTATAATTTTTTTACCATTTTTATGACTGTATCACAGAGACAATAGAAATTTGCAAACAGATTATGACACAGAATTTCAGACTATAAAGCTACCTGCTCATGCTGCAAGTCGAATGGTCCTGTTCATTAGTTCATTTTATATTGATGATACCATTGTTATTCTTTCACATGGCCCTGAACATAGGAAATCATCCAGAAGGTCCCTGGCTAGATAACAGACTTGTGACGACATGAGGGACAGGTGCTTTCATCTGAAACAGCTTTACACAAATTCTGAAACTAATTTGGAAGTGATAAAAATTAATTTGCGCACTTTAATTGGAAGCAGCCTCCTGCATGAAAGAACGCAGAGCAGAGCAGGCAATTTGTGCTAGGAGCTGATTGAATTTTTTGTCAGGTAGGTGTCTTGGACTTGGCCGCTTATCCTCTAGAGTCCTTCTTTGCAATATATTACAGCCCATCTCTGACTGGTGAGCTTTAACCAGATCAATGCTATTCCTGGGGAATCCCCAGGGCACAAGTTTCATTGATCTTGGGACTTGACAGCTCTCATTACGTGCTGTAGCTTCCAACAAGATAGTCACAAGAGGAGCAAGTTAACATTGTTGTGTCTTCAGTAGACCCCAAAAACACATTAGGACCTCAGCTCAAGACCAATGTGCTTTAAAGAATGTAATTTAAATGTTTATTTTGAGCGATGCATACATATGAAAATTTAAAAACCACAGCAATATAAAACCCTGAAATGGAATTTAGTGTTCATCTTTCAAATCAAATCTACCAATATCCACTGAGATGGTTATATGCTGTTCTACTCCACCTCTTAAACTCGGGCCTTTCTGCTTGTGTGTAAACACAATACAGACCACGGGAGGAGAGGAGTGAAAAGACATTTCCAGCTGTGCACATGCACCTTCTCTATTGTTGGACTCAGCCTTGGACACGGACTCTCCTGTCAGCTGCAGCCTTCAGCCAAACTGAGTTCAGCTCTTTGTTCACTCTTTAGATGAACTCTAAAGACAATCCTAGAGCCAGTCCCTAAGCCACAACTGACCAACAGTGTTAAGAGCTAGGGTATGCACAGAGACTGGCCCAGAGGCAATCTTTAATTATATAATTATATATATAATTATATATATCCATATATGGGCATGCATATATATATGTATGTATGTATATACACACATAAACACATACACACAAAACTAGTTGGCTCATTTCTTAACCCAAGGAATCTTACTGAGGATGTTGTGAATGTTAAAGTGGTTTTTTAGGTGTTAGAGGAAGCATGGTCAGCTTGTGATAATTTTCAGTCACAGAACATTCTGAGGCCATGTGACCATGTCCATAGTGGACCATCCATCCTAGCTCAGGACAGGGGCAGGGTAGGGACCAGGATTGAGGCCATTCTACATAGTATCCCATCTCCTACCTGGAGACATTTTGGGGCTTGTGACAGGACTGAGGCTCCTCTTCTCTTGTTACCTGTTTGTCTTCTCCCTTTCTGGAACTGAGACTAAGAACAGTGTTTAGCTTATGCTGGATATAAAGTGAAAATCAAGAGTGACCGATTTCTTTCTCACCACACAACTTTGGCTCACAGACCTGGGTATCTGAGAATCATATAGAGTTGTTGGGATCAGCAGGCAGAGTCATTCTTGTGGCTGTTTTGCAGGAGGGCATGGACCAGCAAGATAGCCAGTCTTAGGCCGCTATGACTGTTGGTCAGAGACACTCATTGTGGGCCACATGATACATCCTGTCAGTAACTGTTCTTAGCTATTCCAGGAAATCTCGGGTAAATATTTGAAATCACAGTATCAGTGAAATTACTGTAACAGTTGATGCTTTGTTTTGGAACTTTAAATTGAAACTCCATCATATTTCTGTGAGTTTACGTAAGCATGAGCAAAAGTGGTTTGTTAATGATATTACCAAGGCCAGAAATAATGTCTGAATGCTGTACAGCTGAGGTTCATACTCTACTGCTCATGGATCCTCACTGAGGACTGGGTTGCACAGCCTCAGCCTGTGTGCTGACCGTGTCTCAGAACTACAGACCATCTTAATGAGCACTCTCCTGTCACGTCTGTGCAGCGCTGACAGGCTTTGTTGTTCTCCCCATCTGTTTCAAGGATACTAAAATGACTTTTGATAAAGGTGAGGTGAACTCTGTGTATGTTAAGCTCTTTCTGTTTAGAATTTCCAGTGCTTGCTTGTGAGGACCAGATGCATTTGTTCCTTATCATCCGTTGCACTGGAGTGAGGCAAGATGGGGTTTCCCCATCCTTGAGGAAATGAGTGGGGAAGGGGTGAAGTGCCACGGTCCTTGGAGGAGAGGTCTCACCTGCACCTCCCTCCGTGCCAGACCCTTTAACCCTGAGCTCCATCCATCAGCTGTGATGTGACAGTGACAGGGTATTACCAAGATCTCGAGTGACTGTTGGTGTGTGTGACATCTGTCCCTGGTGATGAAATATAGGGAAAGCACTTGTCCTTGCTGCTGATTTTCCAACTCGAAAAGCTTTGAAGCACTTTGAAAAGAGCAGTGCTTCCAGGGCCTTAAACAGCACCACTTAATATTTTAGGTCCCATTCCACCACCACCTGAGGAGGCCAGAATGTGAAGCAGTTACATGGGTCTTCAAAGAGCTTACTTCCTTGTGGAAACAGATCACATAAGGAATTTAAAATTTTTTGTTCATTTTTCTCAATTATTTACCATTGAATGATTGCTTTTTTAATAGCTTCTAAGGAAAATAACTTATTTCTAATAATTTATTAAAGATAAAATTTCAGGATTTTTTTTCAGTGTACTAATATCTCCAAAATAATCAGAGACTAAAGATAGGTCTGGGAGAGAAGGCTAACCGGGTGAGTGCAATTACCCACATGTGAGCAGGGCTGTTTGGATTCCCCAGCACACACTGGGTTGGCCAGTGTGTACGTCTGTACTACCAGCACTGGACAGTCACTGGACAGCCAAGTCTAGCCAAAACGGCAAGCTCCAGATTCACTGATACACCCCGTTAAAACTGAGATTAAAATGCAATAGAAGACACTGGGTGTCACCCTCTGGCTACACGTGTGTACGCACACACACACACACACACACACACACACACACACACCTTACTAATGTCCAGTTCTCACTTTAGCAGGAAACTTGGAGTATCTTACAAACACAATTTTTCAGAATATATTTCAGACAAACTCAAGACTGTAAGAGCTATTTTGTCATTATTCAAAGCCCACTACAACAGTGCATAGATTTAGAGCTGGTAGCACACTGCTGTGGGCTACAGAGCCCATTCTCTCAGGCTGCATTTCAGAAATGCATCAAAGGGAGGAATGTCATTTGCAGATCTGAGGAAACTCACCCAACATGCATAATCTCTAGAGGTGGAGAAAATAGTAAGCCCTGCCAGTGTCACAGCAGGGCCAAAGGGACACCCAGACAGCAGGTGGCACATGACAGCCCCTGAGCCTTCATGTCTCTGCATATGCCCCTGTACAGTGACTGCCGGGGTACCAGGCCAAGACATAGTTCTTGGAAAGAGGAGTGCCAAGACCTAAGGCCAAAACACAGGGCAGTTCCCTAAAGGACTGTGGGGGTGTGGGGGGACCCATGCAGACAAGATAGGCTGTGGGGGACCCATGCAGAAGTTCACAGAGAAAAGTCAGACAAGGAACTCAAAAAAAACATCCCAAACTGAGCAACCTACTCCCCAAAAACAAACAGAAAACAATAAACAGAAGAAAAAACAGGGAACTTAAAAAATATGTGATACTCTTTAAGACACAGGAAGGGCAAATTAACAGTTCTACATTTCTTATGCAGGGTTGAGAACAAAGGAATTCATTTCATTTCTTTAATCTTATATAAATACTTAATGTGTAATAAATATTTTAAAATTTTTCTAATTCCAGAAACAAAGGCAAATCTGACTGCTATGGGAAAGATCCAACCTGGTCATTTTTAAAGAGAACAACATTGTCATTAACATCACAAAGAAAGGAAGAGAGGAAGGGTGGTTCTCACACCTTGCAAATGTGTTCTTAGGCCCCTGCACCCTAGCTAGAGAATGTCTTACTCACAATTAACCTTAAAGCAGCATTCCGCAGAGAAAAAATTTGCAGCATAATTATGACCACAAAGGGATTTCATCTGTGTAACTACCCGAAAGAAGTCTTAGTCTCCTCAGAATACTGGAGGTTTAGCACAGAATATGATAGGATTTTTATCCTGAAGAAAATATACACTGATCTCTTAGAACACACATTTTCTGGAATTCTGAAAGAGTTGGTTGCTGTTATGAGACCCAGATTACAATGTGGCTCTTAAAGGTGCAAGAACAATGGCTTGTAAAGCTGGTAACTTAAAATGAAGTCACTGTGTCCAGATAAACACAGAATGTACAGTCTATCTACATACTCTTTGCTAAGATGGTACTACAGACACCCAAGATCAACCAGTGAGTAATATGAATTTAGTATAACTGCTTTAAAAACCAGAAGCAAAATGAGACATGGGTGAACTTAAGCCACCTAAGAACAAGTGTGTTGTTTCTGGAAACCTGGTATTACAAGCCATCATAATAATCTACCAAATGTGACATGGCCTCGCTTTTGACAACTCTGACTCAGCCCCTCACCAGTAGAAGGCAGCCAGGCAGGTGCGGAGCATTTTCAGAGGTGAGGCCACCAATGGAAGATGGGTCAGCCTGATGCCCTGGCATTCTCCTGCTTCCCCTCCCAGGCTGTTTCTAAGTGAGTGTGAAGACCTGAGAGTCAGAAATGGGAGCTGCCACTGAAATCCAGCTCTTGTCACAGTGACACTGGGGAGGGGGCTGAGTGCCTTCACAGAACTTGGTGGGATAGACTGGACCAGAGCAGTTTCTTAAACCTTCTCCACTTGTGACCCCTTTTTATCTGTGACATTTTTATGCAAACACATTTATACAGGTGTAGAAAAAGGTGTATAAATCAAACATTTACCCATAACAAATCTATAGACATTTTAAAAACAATTCTTTGATACAATTTCACCATTTATTAAAAGAGGAAGCAAATTTCATACTAATGAGATGGGAGTGTTTGTTTTAGCATGAATTAACTGTTGGTTGAATACTGTATGGTAGAGGGTGCAGAACACTGTGGACATTTTTCAGCATCCATAGACATTCTGATTTTACAGTTCTCAATGCTGAGAATACCACTTCACATAAGTGCTTTCTACAAAATGGCAGGAGCATTGTGTAGCCCCTCATAAATGGTTGAAGATTCTCTCTCAAACCAAATTAGAGTTTACTTAATGGAATCTTATAAAACTCATATTAGCAACTTCAAAAACCACAGTCTGATCCAATCCAATCTAAATGTACACTAAGTTGATACATGCTAAAGATGACAGCAGGAATAGGTAACTGAACCACCATGTGTCTATTAATAGCAGAAAAGGTTTGTGTGCCGAGAGAACTACAGTCCTGAGCCTGTGGTTGTCTGGAATCCAGGTTAGGTGTTGCAGGAAGTATTCAATACTTGGTGTGGCTTGAGGCATACACAGTGAAAGAACACATTTTCAGAACCATACCCACACTGAGCTTAGCTGCCAGAAATGCCACATGCACATGTTCATTGGATTTTGAGTTAATTTTTGGTCACTGTGACTCAGGAACTGTTTCCTGTTGCCCAGTGCTGTTTCCCCTATGTTCATATTTAAGCTGAAACCAGAGACAGGGAGATGATCTGACCTTACATGCTGTTCCATGACTACATGAGCCCACACATAACTGACTGTTTGAGAGAATAGCCACTGACGCTTGTCAACACTCATGTGGATTAACTTTCCCAGCCGCCCTGTAGCAGGGACAGTGTTAGACTGTGTCACACATGAGGGACAGGCGTAAAGTGAGTGGCTCTGGCCATACAGCAATTAAATGTCTTCCCTCATTGGTGACTGTCTCATCAGGTACACTGGTCTCTAGTGACGCCCTGCAACCATTTCCTGTTTCCTTGTAGGTGACTATCCTGCGCCCAGAGCTGTCCTCACAGGCCATGACCATGAAGTTGTCTGTGTCTCCGTCTGCGCAGAACTGGGACTCGTTATAAGTGGTGCTAAAGGTCAGAGCCATTTCTTTCATATTCCATCTCTAGGCAGTAAGGGTTTTCTAGCTGTGACACTTGTTGATTTCTTCCCGAGATTCAGCAGACAGATGTAGTGATATTTGCCAACGCTGACACAAAATATGGTTATACGTTTATGATGTGGTCACCAGTGTTCTAACCCAAACTTTAGTAAATTTAAACGTCCAGTGAATCATATGATGCAGCTGTGAAAGGGGGCATTTCAAAGGCAGAGGAGACATACAACCAATGCTTTGGGACCTTGCATTAGGTTACTCACTAGTCGGGCCTTAGGACCCTCCCTTCCTCTACAGGTCCTTCCTGTGCAAAGCTCACTGCACAGGGAATAAGGGAAAGGAGAGAGACTCAGTTCTTTGCCTTTGTGGAAGAATTGTCATCTGGAAAGGAAACTTAAATGGCTCTTCTGAGGAGCTTGCAAAACTCTCAAGGAGAAAGACCATGAGGGCTTACAAACTGTTTTGGAGGCTAGGCTAGCCAGAGCTGACCAGAAGCCTAGAGTCCAAGAAGTGAAAGGGCTTAGCATTATTTTTAGTGGGAATTCCTTGATTTGGGAGGGGTACTGTTTTATTTTCATTTGTATCAAAGTCTGAGACTGCAGACTTTGTCAAAGACTGTCCCACAGTTATGGAGAAGTAGTCTCAGAACAAGAGACCCTGTACTTTGCATTTCAAAACAAGAAAGTGAGCCTAGCACTGCAGGTGCAGGCAAAATGCTAATTCCTCCGAGTGGACAGCCAAGGGGTTGTGTCTCCTGCAAGTCTCAAAAGCCCTCCCCTTATCCATCAGGGGAAAGATTAAGTATGGTTTGATAATGACACCTTTTGTATCTAAAACTATGGCTAGTCAAATCAGTGGACAAATAAACATGCATACACAGTTTTGCAGGCTTTGGCTTTTGAGAGAGCCAAGAGGCAAGCACACAATATGAAGTTACAGCTTTTGTTTCCATGATTAGGCCAGTGGAATTTTATCTTCTCAATGAATTTTCCATGGCCATGAAGTTGCCCTGAAATAAGAGAAGCCTTTTTCTACACTCTTTTACACTTTTTCCCCACTGTTAATTTTAAAAGGGCAAAAATTTTCTGTAGTCTGAATTAACTTATCTTCCTAATTACACATTTACATCTTACCTGTAAACTACAGGCAAAGGCAAAGCTTGCTTGGCAGTGTCATGTCTATACTGTGATGCTGAACTTTGATGCAAGTGAAGAAACCAAGCAACTGTTTTCATCTTTCTCTTAATTAGAACCTTCTAAACACAGTAGATCAACTTCTTGGTCACACTCTTGTCTCACCTGACTGTGGAGTTAAAGCCTGCTGTGATGACTGTTATCTGAGGTGGGGGAAGAGATGAAAACCTTAGAGCACTTGGGTGCTGCTTCACTGTGGAGTGCCAGAAGGGTGTGTGTGTGTGTGTGTGTGTGTGTGTGTGTGTGTGTGTGTGTGTGTAGGTGAGTTACATGCATGTGTCCATGAGTGCTATAGCCACAGTACACCTTTATTGTCTTCAGTGCCTTTAACAAACCTGAGTGCCTACTACTCAGGTGTGGTTTGGGATAGGTGTTCTCTCTAACTGGTCTGGTATTTCTGTTTCCCACTGCAGAGGGCCCTTGCCTTGTCCATACCATCACTGGAGACCTGCTGAGGGCCCTGGAAGGACCAGAAAACTGCTTGTTTCCACGCCTAATTTCTGTATCCAGTGAAGGCCACTGCATCATATACTATGAGCGAGGACGGTTCAGCAACTTCAGTATCAATGGGAAACTTTTGGCTCAAATGGAGATCAATGACTCCACTAGGGTGAGTACATATCAGTGCCAAGCAACAAGAAGCCATGGGAGCCAAACTATTTGACATAAAATGGCTTTGGTTCTTTCCCAGAATCCACTTAAACACGTGCTGCGACCAACCCAAGATTCCTCAGTCCCAAATCTGCTCAGCAGGTTAGACTCTAGAGACCACAGCTATCTACTTAGACGAAAGCTTTCTAAGACCCTTCACAAGCACTGGTCTCAGTATTATGTTCCCATGGTGTCCTCATTAGCGTTCCTATACCTTGTGATAAAACAGCATGTCCAAAAGCAACCTGGAGAGGAAAGGGTTTATTTTAGCTTGATCACAGTATATCATGAAGGCAAGGCAGGAACTCAAGGCAGGAATTGAAACAGAGACCAAAGAGGAACAGTGATTATCGGCTTGTTCCTTGTGGCTTGCTCAGCCTGCTTTCGTATACAAGTCAGGACCACCTGCCCAGGGATATCACCCCCTGCCATGGGCTGGGCCCTCCCACCTCAATCACTAATTAAGAAAATGCCCTATAAGCTTGCCTTACAGCCCAGTCTCATGGAGCCACTTTTTCAATAAAAGATTTCTTCTGCCCAGATATGTCTATGATTGTGCCAAGTTGACAGAAAATGACCAGGACATAACAGAGGCCTGTCCTGAGAACCCTGACAACAGCTTCAAGTTGCCTACTGCCCTCATTCACAAATAAAGTATAACTGCTAGTGGCTCAGTACTAAGAACTATTGGAAAGTACACGTCTGCTCTTTGTGCTAAGTTTCCATTATTAACACTGGGAGACTTACCAACACAGAGCGCAGTGTTCTGTCAAGTTCTTCTTAGATTAGATTGGCAGTATTCTCACTGTGACTTCCATGACTTTATAACTAAATTAGTTTTAAATGTTTTATTTTAATTTTTAATTATGGTATATTTAGGGAGTAGGGATTTTGTGCACACTTGGATTCAGAGACCAGAAGAGGGCATCGGGTCCCCTGGATCTAGAGTTACAAGTGACTGTGAGCCACGGGTGCTAGAACCCAAGCTTGTGCCCTCTAGAAAAGCAGCAAGCACTCTTAACCACTAAGCCATTTCTCTAGCCCTTTAAATATTTTGTTTTGATTTATTCTTTTCAGTTGGCTTTAATATTGATCTTTGTAAAAAAAAAAAAAAGCTTTTATAGATTCCATATTGAAAGTTCTGTAGATTAGACTTTAGGAACCTCAGACAACTGCCTAAATAAAGAGACACTTTTAAAGAGATTGATAGTGTTTTCCAGGTTATTGGTTGGTGGTCTGTTGGTTTCTTCGTAGGTAGGTGGTTGATTACTGGGGCATTGGTTGTTTGTTGGTTAGGGATTTTTGGTTGGTTTGTGAGTGCTGGATGATTGGTGGTTGCAGGCAGTTAGTTGGTTGATTGGTGGGTGATTTGTTTGTGGTTGGTTGATTAGGGCTTGGATGCTGCTTGTGAGTTGATGCCTCCTTGTTTGGTGGTTGGTTGGTTGGTTGGTTGATGCTTGGTTGGTCGATGCTTGGTTGGTTGATGGGTTGGCTGATATAGTTAACCGATTGGTGTTTGGTGGTTGGTTGATTGGTGATTAGTCGGTGATTAGTTGTTTCATGGTTGGTTATCTGATGCTTGTTTGGTGTGTGGGCAGGTGGTGGCTGGCTAGTACTTTGTTGACTTTTGGTGGGCAGGTGGGCAGTTAAACTTTCATATACTCTGGCAGATGCTTGACTGCTCAGTTAATTGATGCTCAGTCATGACCATTGATTTGAAACAAATGGAGAGATGGTTGGTATCTGCCTTTTATTTGCAGGCTATTCTCCTGAGCAGCGATGGACAGAACCTGGTGACTGGAGGGGACAATGGTGTGGTGGAGGTCTGGCAGGCCTGTGATTTCAAGCAGCTGTACATTTACCCCGGATGTGATGCTGGCATTAGAGCCATGGATTTATCCCATGACCAAAGGTGAGGCATGTCAAGGGTAATGCAGTAACAGGAACAGGTCAAGAAGCTTGCCATTCTCCTGATCCCACCCAGATGGAGGAAAGAGCAGCACAGACAGGGCAAACTGGAGACAAGTAAGAACCCTAAAGAAGGCCCCATTTTTCAACTGTAGGAAACGTTTCTTGAAAGAATATTGCCTCATAAATATTTTAAGTATTAACACATATGATATATGTAACAAAACAGTTTTACAGTATAGTAGAATGATACAGAAGACATCAAGATTAATAGCATGCATGTCCAGTCAGTCAAGTGTCTGGCTGTTTAAGTATGAAGACACAGGTGCCATTCCCAGAATCCACATAAAGAAACCAGGCATGGCATGCACACTTGGAACCACAGGCCTGGAAAGACAAGATAGGCTGATCCCTAGGGCTTGTGAACCAGCCAGCCTTGCCTAGTCTGTGGGCTCCAGGACACAGAGAGATTACATCAAGAACAGTAGACTCTCTGAGGAAAGAAATCCAAAGTATTTCCTGACCCCCACACACACTATAGAAGGAAAGAGAAAGACAGTGTGACTTAATACAATCTGGGGAATGAATGTTTTTAAGGAAGCCTTCTGATTACCATTGGTGTAGACCAGTAAATAGATATGGCTTACTTTCTAATTATTTGTATGCACATGAGTGTTTTTAATGTGTTTAAAAATATCTTTTTAAGTAGGTTAAACATTCTTCCTTCAATTCATTCACATGCTTTCTGCAAATATCTGTTATAGACGTATTATAACAGGGTACTGTGCTGATGTACTCTGCACAGTCCTAAGGATACATAAAAAGGCGACCCATCACAGGACCCTAACTAAAATGCCTGTCAGGGGAGCAGGACCAGAACCCTGGGAGGAGATATTTGGCCGTGTGGGAGGCTGAGGAGGAGCCATTTGTCAGGCCGGGTCATAGTAGGCATCAGGGAACACATACAGAGTGGAAAGGGGCCAAGTATCTTCCCATTTTCACTTTAATCTCATTAATTTTGATAATATGTACTGTATAAAGCAGTGCTGATTGGGACAGTTCAAGAACGGACAGGGTAACTAATAAACATATGTTGGGGAAGTAAGGGCAGGACACATTTGTCTGATGATGTTAATCTATAACAGCTAAGCACACTGCCCCATCAAGACAGAATGTCATGACATTTGGACTCAGTCAGTGGTAGAGAGCCACCCCAGAGAAAGCAGCCTGATTGGCTTAGGAGGCACAAGCAACAGGGGACTGAGATGATCTCAGGTACCTGGTGACAGTGAGTCAGGATGAATGTGCTCAGTCTGAAGGTTTGATGATATTACCTGCTGCTGTACGATAGCTAAGCTCTTCAACAGACAAAACAAAACTGGTACCCGAGGATTCAGGGAGACTTATGCTTCATACCTCCACACCCATAGCCAAGTTCCGTAGGGCACGGGTAAGGGTGGATTGGTTAAGTGGTTAAGTTAGAGGCCAGAATTCTACAGAAAACCCCCTTTGTCCCAGGGGAAGATGCGGATAGACCATGAATATGTCAGCTGAGAAGAGCAGGCCTCAGGGCACACTAGACTGTGTGGTTTGCTGGGCTTTACTCCCGCTCTTCAGAAGGGCTCTCCACTAGCTCAGCAGCTCCTGGCAGAAGTGAGAGGAAAGGCTCTACCTCTCTCAGTGAACACAGTCAATCCTTGGGAACTCCCGAGGAAAGACCAGTGTCAGCATGAGGAGGCAAGTGCATTCTGTTCTGCTGTCTCTCTTCACCGCCGTCTCTGCTTTTCCAGGACTCTGATCACTGGCATGGCTTCCGGAAGCATTGTAGCTTTTAATATAGATTTTAATCGGTGGCATTATGAGCATCAGAACAGGTACTGAAGAGAAGCAGCGGAAGCCACGTTCAAGTGGGAGCACACGTGGAAAGGCAGTATCTCTGGTGGGGACACTCGTCCATATCGGCCTCTGTACACCCATCCCACCCAGCAGTTGCCGAACATCATAGTTGGGAGCCATTTCACCCTGTTTTTCCAGGACTGAACACCAGCTGCTGTCAAGCAAGCTTATATCATGTAAATTATCTGAATTAGGAGACGTTTTGGTAATTATTTCATATATCGCCGTTTATTGAGAAAAGGTTGTAGGAAGCCTCACAAGAGACTTTTGACAATTCTGAGGAACCTTGTGCCCAGTTGTTACAAAGTTTAAGCTTTGAACCTAACCTGCATCCCATTTACAGCCTCTTTTCAAGCTGAGAAAACAAAACCCACGTTTGATACTTTGTACATCATATGCATCTTATTTAAAGGGATACTTTTGTAAAAGTGAAACCTTGTATAAAGAAAGAGCAGCCTTTGTTAATTTACTGTGGAGTTACAACCTGCATGCTCCCTACTCCCCACGTCTCGATGGAACGGGTGCAGTGAAGCTAGGAAACGGAAAGAACACAGCTTGTTCAAAAGGGTTGAATTTGGGCTCAATCCATAATTTTTTTGACATTTTCACTAAAATATGGTTTGCACTTTTTAATCTAAATTCATCCCTTCTAAGTGAAGTTTGCTCATATAGCATTTGGATACTAAGCCATTATTTGCCACTGTTGGTATTTTTTACAAAGATAATTCAGCCCTGCCCTTTAGGACCTGAAGATGCAATAGAAAGGGAGCCTGGGCAGGAGGGCCTGGTTTCTACTGTGTGTACATGGGAGTCATGATCATTAGCCCCAGGGCATCGACCTCCCAGCACTGGACATCTCTCCCTGGTGTCAGTCTGCTGGCTCCATGTCTACGTATCGGGAGGATCAGGATGCTAAAGTTTTCTTCTCTTTGCTTCTCAAACAGCATAGTTCAATAATGAGTCAGACTTTATTACAAAAATAACAAACTTACCCCTTTTGTTTCTTGTGAGTTTCCCACCTAAAGCCACATTCCTAGCCTAAGGCATTTTATCTTTTCCAGTATCAAATGATGGCTCTCAAATTATTTTTCCATCCATTGTCCCGATCCAGCTATCACCCAGGGGTCTATACATTTTCTTCATGTTTCTTCTTTGTATATTTGGTGACTGTATTGTCATAGGTGTACATATCGTGTCGGTAGGGCTATGAGGCATGTTACAGGAATGTAATTTTCTCAGAATTTACACTCATTTGCAGTCATTTATTTCAAAAGATAAAACAGGATAATGGGTTCTTTGTATTGGCACTTTGCACCAGAAACATATCATTATTTATTGCTGTGATTACTTATTTGTCATCCACCTTGTACTAGAAAGTTTTAGCACTGAATTATTCCTTCTTCATTGTTGTTTGTATTTATGAAATTCGGAAATTATGGGGAATCAGTGTACTGATTACGTTATTCATCACCAGGCTGTGAGCAATATCTTGAGTTTGTAGCTTAGAATTGGGAAGGCACTGAACATCTGGAAGACAAGGTCATTTCATCTTGAGATCATGGTGAAATATTTTGGATATATAAATTCCTTAAGCTATTGTAACCACGTTTTATTGCAAAGATGTAAAATATGCCAGATGTGTGTGAGTTGGAAATCAAAAAAATGAAAAATAAAATATGCAAAGAATTCACTGATTGCCTCACATGTCACAGGATTCCTCCGTGACCCACAGTCTTTACACTACCCTTGAGTTTGAAAATTCAGCATTGCCTCATGTGAGGGCCTCAGTGTGCAAAACCAAGAACCCTAATGAAGCCAGCAGTCTTCTCGTCCATTGCTAGGAATGTGGGCCACAGGGGCCACAGAAGACAGGAACCAAGTGATAAAGAAAATATCTTTTTAGGTGAGTATTACCAGATAATGGCATTTTTATCCAAAAGCCACGCTTTGCAGTTTGTCATCAAGCAGGAGTGGCTTAGGCATCTGCTAGCCACAGCAAGGTGGGCGGCAGGCAGGTAAGGCTGCCTTCTGTATTTCTGTAATTAAAAGGGCAGGTCCAATCAATAGAACCCCAAGAAAGACCAGCTCTCTCCATCCTACCCCACAGCTGAAAATTTATCAGGTTCCCCAAGCTTCCATAGCTTCTTCAGCCCAACCCATGTCCTATCTGTCCATTACTCCAGCAAGTCAATGACTGCCTGAAATCTCTAGAAGCTGTTCCGTCCTTTCCAGCACCTTCCCAGCACTTGTACTGACCCCAAACCTGCTGATTGGGCCTGGTATCTAATCTGACCCCTCTCCATGCTGTACCCTTCTCAGTGTTCTGTAGAGGTAACGGTTTGGGAACTTAAGAAAATCATCTAGGCTTTAAAGAGCATAACCGGGGTCCTAGCCCACACACAATCAGACATATTGGCCCTTGATTACTTCTTGACAGCCCTGATTTGAGAACTAATGTTGAGGCCCAGAGCACACAAGTCCTTCAGGGGGACAGAGCTGACTTAGTCACTCACATGTTCTCGCTTTCTCTCTCTCTCTTTCTCTTGCTCTGTGTGTGTGTGTGGGGGGCTATGCTCTTAGAATCCTGTCCATTTGCAGAGCTGGGGATATAGCACTGTTATAAGAGTGTGTTCATGCACAAAACCCAGGGTTTAATACCCAGCATGGAATAAACAAGGCACAGTTAATTCCAGGTCATCTGTAGTTTCTGTTCTCAGGAGGTATTGGCAGGAGTATCAGAAGTTCAAGGTCAGCTACACAGCAAGTTCAGGAGCAGGCTGTGCTGCCTGAGGCCCTGTCTCAGAACAAAAACAACCATCACATATGCAGTCTCTGAGAACCTCCCTGCTGCCAGAGTTCTTCCTCCCTGGAGTGCACAGGCTACTCTCCCATTTAACACCCCGTTAAAATGGATCTCAGCTCACTGTCATGCACAGTCTCATTTGGCAGGCAGGGGTACTCCAAACCCCATTTCCAAGCAACGTTAAAATAAAAACAGCTTTTAAATTAAACTTCAACAAACAGATACAGCGCTTCTTTGAGGTCGGTGAAGTTAGGGCGCCATTTTAGGTAATGTGACAACCGTTTGAACCAAAGACAAGCAAAATGAGATACACATGTGTTCTGGAAACTGGATTTGGTACGCCTTATGACACAACAGCCAGAATTCTCTCCCCCGCTTGTTCAGGTACCTCCACTGTAAGAGCTGGCTAAGGCTTTAGAGGAGTCACGTGCCCTGGTTATGAGGAAGGACAGGACAAGGCCGGGAGAGTACAACTTCCTTTATAATCAACATCCTGAATGTTACTCAGTGAAAGACCACTTCTTTTGGCTTTTATGCTAATTTACAAACCAATCATTACCCCACCCCCAAAGCCATTCTCAGGATCTCATATTCTTACCGAGGTGTCTCTGCTCTTCCTGGAATTGAATTTAGGATGACAGCTCTGACTCACGAACGACCTGCAGTGTGAGTATTGACTGTCCCTGCGATGCGCTATAAACCGGCATACGGCATGTCTGTACTCGAAACTGCATGATGACTCTTGCTCTCGATCACTGGGGTGACGTGAAGTTGGTGTGTCCACGTCATAGCACGGTGCAGGGGACTGTTGCAACACACTGGCACTTGTCTCCTTTCTGGGGCTGTAGGCTTCTGGGACAATGAGACTCTAATCTTACACCCTCAGGGTAGTATTGGGATTCCGACTAGACTCTCAGCAACACAGTCACAACCATCATTGCCAAATACTCAGAAGAACAGGTAATTTCAGATCCCCAGGCAAAATGACAAAGGTCACTGAGATGGTTAGGGGTCCACAAAAGTGCCTCCCACTGCCTTCTCCCACCCTGCACTGTGGTACCCAAGAGCCCAGGCTGCTGTCATCCAAATCCTGGCCTCTTCTACCCGTCTCAGAGAAATACTAGTTCTAGCAAGTCCCGGCAAGCTGCAGGAGAGGGACTGGAGGTTTCTGTTTACTGCTTTTAATCCAAGTTCACACAGTTGTTGCAAGGACAGGAAAGATGGGTGATTTGGGTGAGAGCTGCTCTGAATGAGGTATGAAAACAGAATCCCAAAACCAGGGGCCTTCCTTTGTAAATAACTCATTACTGCCCTCACCAGTTAAGGTGGGGGTGGGAGGTGCTGATAGCTCTGACAAGAAGCTATTTTACTTTTTTACTGTTTTACTTTAAGCAGCAAAACAGTGGTGCTCCTGGCAGAGCCCCTGACCCCTGACTCTCAGGAGCTTCACACCATTCCACTGTCCACAATCTAGTGAGAATGTATTTTCACTGCTCAACGTCCTTTCCCTGTTTAAAATGCTATGCATTTTCATTGGGCAAAGCGACCTCTCTTCCTATCGTGGCATCTATGGAGACTGCCAGTCAGAGCATTGAATCCCTTGAATGGACCTCTTGATCCTTGCCAACTAGGACACTTCCATCTATGCTACCTTGGTGATGCCATCTCTAGGTAGAGATGGCATGCGGCCTGAGAGGGACTTGTCAGAGCTGGTTCTTAACTGTGTCCTGAAGTGGGGAGCAAACTTGCCTTTCCCTCCTAGAGTCGTAAGCCTGCTGCTAAGCAGTCAGTTTGTTAACACTGTTGTCCACACTGCACAGAGTAGACCACATGCAGCAGATGAGAGAAGTCACAGGAAATGCTAGCCAGGAGTCCAGGGGAGTCCAGGGGACGCAAGGTGCTCCCAGACATACAGATGTCACTGTTCTGGACGTTCGCTTTCCTAGTTAGCTTTAACTGTCAACTAGACATAGCCCAGGGTTGTTGGAGGGAGTCTCAGTTGAGGGGTTTCCCGTGTCAGCCTGGCCTCTAGGTTTATTTTTGTGGGCATTTTCCTGATTGCTACATAGAAGGACCCATACACTGCAGGTGATGGAATCTCTCGGTAGGTGTGCCTGAGCAGGAGAAGAAACAATGGCTACTTCAGGGCACAGGTAGTAGCTGGGCTCTGAAGGGATCATTAGGGGAAGAGAATTCCACTTGGGGTGTGGGGTGTGGGGGGCTCTTTCTCCAAGCTGGCTATGCCACCAAGGAGAGCTTCCCTGAGAATGCCATTGCCAGCGTTGTGGTGACTTGCTAGTCCGTGAGTGTTACATTACACTTCAATTAAAAGCACACATTGAAAAGTTAAAAAATATACCCCATCTCACCAGCTCATGACTACTGAATGTGCAGGCACTAGCCACTGTTTCGTGGCCTCTCTAATTCCTACAGTTTGCAATGATTTGAGGGTCAGCATATATTGATTGCCCCGTGGCAATTGACATTTTTCTTCCAATGGCAGCCTGGCTTCAATGATTCCTTTTCCAAGAAGCCATCTCTCTACCTAAGTGGGTACTTTGCTCACTGGATTTGTGCATGTGGCCACTGTGCACAGCCTTTGATCAGCACCTGTTCCTTCATGTGGGCAACTGTAACCAGATACCCAAGACTGGGCAACTTAAGAGCAGTAGAAGTCCACTGCTTACAGCTTTCAACATTAGGAAGTCCAAGACTGAGTACCAGCAGCCTTGGTGAGCTGTGAGCTGTTTGTTCTCCCAGCCTAGAAAGAGCAGACAAGCTCCCTTAGCCCTCTTCCATATAAGAATATCAAGTACATCCACAAAGGCTCCATCCTCACAGCCTCCCTTTCTCCCAAGGTTAGGTTGCAAGAGTCAGTTTGGAAGGATATGAACACAGAAGTCTTGCCAGTACCCCTCCCTAAATTATCGACAGGAATCTCCTTTTCACTCTGATGAACTAGCTGCAGAGGGAAGACATGCAATAAAGAAAAGCTTACACAACCCAAGCTTGTCAACCAAAACAGAGCTGCCCACCCCTTCATAGTCAACCAATTAGTAGCCAGTGCCTCTTTCTGGACCTCATAAAAGGAAACCCCAAATGGGCTTGAACTGGAACACTAAGGATCCTGCTACTCTTCTAATCTGCATGGTGTCTTGTCTGCACTTCTGCTTTCCCAATGGTACTGCTTTTGTTCAGAGATTAAAGGTAAGAACCTAAAAAACCAAAACTGAAACCCCAAAAAAGTATCTTTCTTACTAGATGCTAAATTGAAATGAATTCCAAATTTCTGCCAGCATGTGGTAGGCACAGGCCCTGGGTCAGCCACTCAAATAGAGCACAGACCCCATTAATAAACAGCCCATGCCTACCATGCAAGCATTAGGGCCTGATCCGGGATTCCCAGCTGCCATGTCAACCACAGGACATGGTAGCACCAGTTTGTTATCCTAGTGCCGGGGGAGGTGATTAGTTAAGACAGCCCTAGAGCTCACTGCCAGGTTGGGCTAGCTACTTGATAAGATCCAGGTTCTGTGAGAGAGCCTGTCTAGAAAAATATGTGGAGCCTACACACACACACACACACACACACACACACACACACACACCTGAACATACACAAACTCTTTAAGATAATTTTTAAAGCCCCAAATTCTCCAGTGAGGTTTGATCAAATCCCAAAAGCCAATGAACTAGCCCCTGAGAACTCTGTGTTCATATGATAACCTTGTGTTTGCAAACCATGTGACTGCTTCCAGAGCTCTGTCAGCAGGGAGAAGTTGTCCCAAACCACCGAGCTGACAAGAAAGGAGATAGTATTCAAGCCCAGCCTCCAGGTCCCAGGTTGACCAAGCATTTACCTACTCGTTTGTCAAGGCTCAAAAATA